TAAATATTATCGATACGTTTGATTTAAATTATTTACACAAATTATTGATATGTTTTACTAGTGTCAAAACATTAAAACTACAATTAAATCGTAATGATCCTATTGTAAAATCAATTAAACAGATTATCGTATTCATGAAATATTTAGAAAATTTAAATGTTAGATTATTACCAATAATTGATGATACGATGAAAAATCTCATACAAGAAGAGATTTTGAATGTTTCAGAATTGCAGATTTTCAAGCTTGATTTACAGCCTGATTATTTCAATTTTTGGAAATAAATGATTTTTTTACATCTGATGACTTTTCTTCTTTATTTTTGAAAATTGAAGATCTGAACAAAAGCTAAGCACATCAACCTTGCATCTAATTTCAAATTTAGCGATAAAACTCTATGGGCTCGAAGTTAATGATGAACAATGTGAAAAAATACTTCAAATAGGAGATTATTCTAACTGCCATCACACTCACTTTCTATACAGTGTATCCAAGAATTATTGGCCCATCCCTATAGTTGCATATTCTTCCGTTTTCTATTTGGACATCATGGATGCTTTAGAGCCACCGTTTCCACCAGCGTGTATAGATATGACCAGCAGTAAAAATTCCGTTTTGTTTTTGTTTTATACGAAAAATACTAGAAATATGTGTCATTTGTCTTCAGTGAAAATTTATTCGGTCACCTTTGAAAAAAATTGATTTTGAATCAGATTGATATCAAAAATTTTTATTTGCTTTATGGATCTGTCTTGATATGAATACACCGGGCTGAAAAAGCTCGGTCAGGTTGTGAAAAAACATTTTAGAAAATAGAATATGATTTTCTGAGTAGATTAGACTAATATAGTAGAATCGTTTTCTGACTAGATCACGGAATAATGTTAAGTCAGGTAAAGATAGATTGCGAAGTCTCTCGTATTTCCTGACAAAATCGGGCTACGATGTTGTTTCTGACCAGATCACATCGGATGTTAGAAATGAGCCCAAGAGCCACCGTTCCTTTATCTCTGGAATTGTCTAGTGGTCGTGGAGAGAAATTTAGTTAGTCATTCCGTAATAAACTTGTCCGTAGTAGAAAATCCAAGGAATATACAAGTTATGTGTTTAAAAGCTTATATGTATGTATGAAAAATCCTAAAATGCATAATACCTCGTAAACTTCTCACTTTATGTTGTATTGACTTTTCCGATGGGATAAAAAGTGCTTACTTTACTTTTGGGAAGTTGAAAGTTATAGTGAGATGACAGCCGTTGAATTCAAGGCCCCCGCCCCGGACGGTAATATAGATTTATCTATAAAAGATCCATATTGAGCTAAGCGCATGCTGAAGGGCCCAAGCTGCCTAGTTTTAGAATCCATACTATTTTTGCCAATATCAAAGGTCCATATTGAGCTAAGCGCATGCTGAAGGGCCCAAAGTGCCTAATTTGAGCTGAAACTACAGATGATATAAAAATGTATTATATACCAAATTAATGCTCATGTAAAATGGAATTGATGTGTATGACTGAGATTCCGTATGACGGTTATTGACTGTAGAACTATGGAAGTTTCTATCGAGTGCATCATAATGAATGAGCTTCTCAGTATTTTCTATTTTTCTCGTGTACGTTCAATATCTCGCGGTTAGTATTTTTTTTAAAAGATGCGCCACGAAATATTCTACAAAACCATACCTAAACTTTAATTTTAGAACTTTAATCAAGGAAACTACGTAAATCATACGAAAGGCGAAAAAAATAAAAACTTTGTATAGTTGATATTTTTTCGACTTGACTTTTTTCTTCAGCAATTATTCACGCAAAAGAGTGTAGCAAAAGTGAAAACTCGGTTCTTTTTGTACTTCTGAACACGCTCTTTCCTCTGGCCTGTGAAAAATGTTTTTTAGAGCAGATGGTGGGCGGGAGAACTAAGTTTCAAAAATTTTTCCTCATTTTTAGCAATATGCCGACGTAAGAAATGGAAAACCTGATCGATGTTTTGGTTTCAGAATTAGTAATAGAAAAGCAATCATTCCTGATCAAAACAAAACAAACCCGATCGAAAAAGCGTTTGTTTTGTTGAAGTTACGGGACTTTTACTCAAAGCACTGTCACACCCAGAATTTAATCATTATGACGCACTCGATAGAAACTTCCATAGTTCTACAGCCAATAATCGTCATACAAAATATCAGTCGTACACATCAATTCCAGTTTAGATGAACATTAATTTGGTATATAATAAATTTTTATATCATTTGTAGTTTCAGCTCTACCCCCCCCCGGAAAAATATTATTTCCAACCGTGTACAACAATTCCAATACACTGTAAAAGATGAGTTAATGATTGATGAACATTTGTAGCAATACATTATTGTATGATTAACTAAGTGCGATGAAGAAAGATCAGTGAAACTTGCATGAGCATCTGTATATGTCGGGGATGAAGAGAAATATGGCATTGGATGATCAATCGTGGAATTAGCTGTAGATGCAGATGTATTGTTTGAAGGATGTACTGGTATGTAAGATGTCTGTGTTGTTGGATTAAAGATAATCGAAGACGGTGATGGTTGTAATACAGGAAATCCACAATCAGACAAACGTGCATCATTCGTTTTTCTCCTTGTTTTAGGTTAGGTTGGTGTTCTAAACGCTAACTTTTTCCTTTTTTTTTCTTTCAGTTCAGTTTCTTTAGCTTGTAATTTATACAACGCTTCCACACTTGTCAAACTCTCGCTCGAACTACGTGTTATCATTGTTTTCCGTTTCTTGTTCGGTACCACTGTTGGTTTTAAAAATTGTTCAGTAGTGGCAGTTATTGCATGTTGTATACCTGATCGTGTATCATCTACATAAACAATACAATAGTACAAGATTATTAGTAAAAGACATCAATTAACTTACTTTGAGGTGAGGACGGTATCTCAAATGCTACAGTTGGTGAACTGGAAAAGTCTTTTCGAGCAGACATATCTACAAGAACAATGGAAAATATATTTCTGTTCCCCAAAGTTCTTAGAATGTCAGTATAAAATCTTACTAGAATGCGATTCAGATGAATTGAGTAACGTTAGTGAGTTGTCTATCAACGATGATGTATCAATTGTCGGTGGAACAGCCGATGTAGAGTCGGTTGTCAAGAAATCAGAAGTTCCCACTGGTATAGAAATATCAGTCGTGGTAGAACTGGCATCAATGCATTAGAAATACACGGAAAAATATATATGAATCAAAAGCAGCAAGAAATGAAGTCGCGTACGTGATCGAATTAATAATGATGGTGCTGAAGGAGATTTTCGTAATTGAATTCCAATACTTTTGGGATTCATTGACATGACATTACTATTAACAGGGCTTGTTTCGCCACATGATGAGGGCAAGCATTCATTTGATACGGTTCGTGTCAGTTTCTTTTTATTGTTATTGCATGAATACGTTATATTTTCTTTAGGAATTGCACGTTTATCATAAGGAAATATCCCTGCTTTGGCGAATCCGCCAGCACAGTAAGCTGGACGTAACGAATATGAATATAGTTGCTTTAACAATAGAGGGATAACAAATTTATCCAGTTTAGCACCATTATTTTTATTGTAGTAATCTTGTACTAGTTTTCTTCAGTGCGTTTTCACAACCTTGAACGTATAAACATCGAGAGGTTGGAGAACATTCGTGGTATGAGGGGGTAATGATAAAATGTGTACATCATTATCTAACGCCAATTTCATTGTACGATAACTAATGTGAGAAAAATGATTATCCATTAATAATAAAATTGGACGTTGATCATGTTTGATTTCTTTCAAAGATAAGTTTTGAAACCAATCAGAAAATGTATTTTCTTTCATCCAGCCTTTTTCTGATGTGTTATATCTCGTTCCAGGGTAGTTTTTCTTTGGACACCAGTTATTGTACAGCCTTTCACCTTTGTAGAAAGCAGTAATAAACACTAATTTCATAGTGAAGAGAATCTTTCTTTTGGGTAAAACGATAAAATTTGTTCTTTTCTCCATTTTTTGCTTTATATCTGTGTCGCTATAGTATGTGAGCTAATCGTAACTTTTTTGTACAATTGTAAGTTTACGATATTTTTTCAATAACTTCTGTCATTGCCCACCGGTTTCGAAAATTTTTTTTTTATTTTACTCGCTGATGACGGTTCCACTACCACA